TTGCTCTCATAACAAAATTCCTCACGTCCTTGGTGGGATGCAGAGTGCTCTTCTATTGTTAAAAACCGTAAAGATGTTGAACAACAGTACTCTGTAAATATGTCCATGGAAAACTTTATAAAATATAAAAAAAATAGCTGTTCAAGCCAAAAAAGCATTCTCGGAGAAGAATAAAAAAGGATGGCTTTTATTTTGTGAGAGTCTGTCACCTCGCTCTCCAGCCTCCATTGTTTAGAAAAACATAAAGCGATTACGTGGTTCTCTCAATGATAGCCAAATAAATAAACCTGGTCTCTCACTTTGGATAGACAACTTCTGTAGCAGCTTGTCTCCTCCGTGGGTTCCTTCCTTAGAGGAGAAATTCCCAATAACCTCCTCACCTTCCCATCTTTCTTATTAATCTATGAATGATACCTTCTCCCTCACATAGCTTCAGTTGGTGTTAAACCATCTGAAGGACTCCTCTCCAAGTATCGACGGGAATTCATACTCTTTTTTAACAGACATGGTTCCCACATCCAAAAAATATTTCCTAGACATAATTAACTGTGTATATTCAACAGGAGCAACGGGTTGGGTTTTGAATCAAGTCGCCTGAATTTGAGGAGTCTGTCACTATGGCGAGGGGGGGGGGGGGGTCAAGCCGGCTTATCTCAAGCGCCCCCATGCAATTTTAGCTGCCGGGCTGCGTCGAAATATTTAATATAATTTTCTAAAAATATTCATAATACCTGAAACGAAACTTTTGACATTGACAGTTAGTGTTCTGTGGATAGTCAAAGAGAATATAATCACTACGTTTATTCTCGACTTCGCGACTCGCGTCATAAGCGTCATTCCGTTGCTTCAGAGTTTACGTGAATGTTCTCCTTATTGTTATTATCTGCCCCCTGTTTTTGGACGACTTCGCTACCCCTCTGGAGACCGACTGCTTGCTATTTTACGACGTTTTTGGAATTGGCGGAAGTTAACATTTTGGTGTTATATTTGATGCAAGAGCGAGCGAAGCGAGCTCGGGACTTGGGGCACCCCGACTCGGACAGGTTAGGTTAGAAGGGGATGGCGGGGTCGAGTGAGCGAGCGAACAGACCCCTCCATCCCCTTCGTGGTTAGTTTTTTATAAACCATCCAGAAATAGTGGCCCCGCAGAGCGGGACTCCGTCGACCGAGCTTCCCTCGACTGCGCCACGTTGAGTGGCGTTGGGCTACCCTCCCCCAACTCTCTGCCCCCATAAATTAGGTTTATATTGTCAAAACTTTACGAAAACATAACCTCAAAATGAGATTTTTAAAAATTTATAAAAAAAAAACTAAGCACGTCCGACAGGAAATGGAAGTTGGAGGTGACTCTACAACTCCTCTTCCTCTCCCCCACTACCCCCACCCCCTCTACAGCCACTAGCTACCGTCCAATAACCATTTCACCCACTCTATCAAAGATAATGGAACACCTCGGCAAAAACCGCATAGAGTGGCTTCTAGAAAATATATGCATCTTGCCTAAAAGCCAGTTTGGTTTTAGAAAGGGTTTGAGTACCTTTAACAGCGTCAGCCTTTTGATTTGCAATGTCAGACTTGCATTTTCTCAAAACAACTTCCTTGTAGCTGTCTTCTTAGATGTTTGTGCAGCTTATGATAATGTTAGACTTCCGCAGCTCAGGCATTAGATGCATCACCTGAGCATTCCTGTAAGGATAACGAACTTTGTGTCAAACCTTTATTCAGGAAGACGCGTTCTAGTGCATGTAGAGGGTAATTTAATCCCAGAGAGATACATCTGGAAAGGTCTTCCACAAGGCTCTGTTCTAAGTCCCCTTCTGTATAACCTATATACCCATGATCTAGATAAATCCGTAAACTGTCTGTACAACATACTCCCATATGCTGATGATTTGGCTCTCTTTGTTACTGACCATTCTTTACCCGACGCCTCTTCGCGATTATCTCATGCGGTATATTGCCTCCAAGAATGGCTCACAGAACATTTTTTGTCCATCCCACAAAAAAAATTGTGGCATTTTCGAGATAAAGATTCATCCGGGCAGTGTCGATCTCTATTGGAGACTCATTGATTCCCAATGTGAGCCATGTGAAATTCCTCTGTTATGCCAGATAATAAATTGTCTGGAATTCCCCACTTATCCTACATAGCTTCAAAATGCGAAAAAAATCTCAACGTCATTCGCGCTATATCAGGAGCTTGGTGGGACTCTCATCCTTACTCCCAAAAACAACATTATCAAAGCATTATGCTTTGATAATGTTACAAGCTTCGGGTTCGAGACAATTAAAAACTGCCGATTGAATTACCAAAAATTGACACTTTAATTACAGAGCACTAATTACAACTTAAACCACACTAAGAAAACACAAATTTACTACTGATCACTAGTTCGCCGTTGTATCGCTTCGAAGTATTAGCTTATATCGCCAATTCAATACTGTCTCGGTCGCGATCTATACCGGCCTTAATATAGGGCGCCAGGTAGTTTCCAGAACCTTCTACTATAGAAACATCTAGAAAGTTCGAGTACATATCGGTCCCGATATTTATAGAAGGATCTTGACTCTCCTAGTTCTGCCACTCGATACTAGAGGGCGCTAGTGGTAACTAGTGTTGCCATGTACAAGACATTAATATTGGCGCTCAACACTGCTCTCTCCTAAGACGTGGTCGTCCCGAGCATTATTGGCCCCATAATAACGCGCCAGTTCCCGCCAGTTTCCCTGCTGCTGTTAGCCGCACTATCCTCTCGAGATCGGTCATCTTCCCTTTCTACAGTTCGCTTAGGGCAGCTGGATCGAAGATGGCGCTTTCACCACAGCCATAGGACCTAGGGTTGTATCCTTTATTGCAGTCACGAACTGTAGCTGCCGCAAACTCCCTGACGCAATGGGAACGATGATCCTGCCGCACAGCTTCCACCTCCAGTGCATGGCCCAACGCTTCCTTAAGCGTCTCGTGGTGCCCGAGCCTCACAGCAGCTCGGACTTCAATGTCACGTATGCCGTCGATGAATGCCTGCACCAGATTCCCTAAAATGAGCGCAGGTACAGACTGGTATGCTTTCCGAACCAGCTTCTCCACCTCAAGGGCCCACTGCTGCAGGTTTTCGTTGTTGCATTGCACGCGATCTTTGAGCTGCGCACGAAAGATATGTTCCAGGTGAGCGTCGCTATATCTCGCCTCCAATGCCTCAAGGAGCTGTTTGTGAGTTACTTCCTTACCGAGAGCTTCCAGAACAGTTAAGGCCTGGTCGCGCAGGCCTAGGGTGAGAGCAGTCACTTTCATTCCAACCGTTTGCCTTCATGACAGCCTCGAACTGGATTTTGTTGGTCGACCAGGAAGAAGTCCCGTCGAACGGTGGCACTTTGAATCCACGTAGCGAAGGTGCTGCAGCTACAACGGGAGCTGTAATTCCATCCCCAAGTTTGAGGTAGTTCAGCGTTTTCGTCACGTCAGCCATCACGTTGTCAACCTGATTGTTCACTTGGTCGATTCGGGTTTCAGCTTCCGACAGGCGGTTTTCATGTTGACCAACCCTATCCTTCACCTCCCTAATCTCTTTCCCGCAGGTAGCGTGAAGGTCCTTCATGAGGAGCGTCTGCTCTTCCATACCGCGTTGCAGCTTCTCTTCCAAACGACGGACCTGTTCCTCCTGTCAGCGGGCCTGTTCCTATCCCTTGCCTAGAATTGATGACACGCTGGACATGCTCACAGGCGTAAAGTGGTTTAGTACGCTGGACCTGAAAAGTGGCTACCGGCAGGTTGAAATTGACCCTAAGGACAAGGAGAAAACTGCATTCTCCACAGGAAATGGTCTGTGGCAATTTAAAGTCATGCCGTTTGGATTGTGCAATGCTCCAGCAACGTTTGAAAGGTTGATGGAGCTTGTACTTACCGGGCTAATTGGAGATGCCTGTCTGGTCTACTTGGACGACATCATCATCGTAGGCCGTACGTTTGAGGAACACCTTCAAAACCTGGAACGCGTGCTCATGAAGGTCCAGAGTGCCAACCTCAAGTTGAGTCCGAAGAAGTGCTCACTATTCAAACGGCAAGTTAGCTTTTTGGGGTATGTAGTGTCGGAAGAAGGTATCCGCACGGATCCAGAGAAAATTGCCTTTGTCATGGATTGGCCGGATCCAAAAGACAAGACACAGGTTAGAGCCTTTTTGGGTTTGTGCTCTAATTATCGGCGATTTGTGAAGAACTTTGCAGATATAGCCAAACCTCTGCACAGGCTAACCGAGGAGAAGCAACATTTCTGCTGGGATGAAAGTTGCGACATTGCATTCCAGGAGCTCAAGAACCGTCTGTGTAAAACACCTATCTTGGGGTACCCTGATGCGGGCAAGGAATTTATAGTTGACATAGATGCAAGTAAAATAGGACTTGGCGGTGTGTTGTCTCAACGGAATGGTGATCAAGAGATTGTGATAGCGTACTTCAACAAGTCGTTGTCAAAGCCGGAAAGGAACTATTGTGTCACAAGACGGGAATTGCTTGCTGTGGTCCTTGCAGCATTTTAGCACATATCTTCTGGGGCGGAAATTCCAATTACGAACTGACCATGCTGCACTGAAATGGCTATTGCACTTCAAAAATCCGGAAGGACAAGTTGCGAGATGGATTGAACTACTGCAGGATTACGACTTTGTGATCGAACATCGCAGCAGGAAATCTCATGGCAATGCAGATGCATTATCAAGAAGACCTTGCCCTAAAGATTGCAAGCATTGTACTAGACAAGAGGGTAAGGAAGTGGTATCTGTGAGGATTCTCAGGACAGACCAGCTCAGCAATGAGTGGAAGGACAGCCTACAACATGCACAGCAGGAAGATTCAGACATTAAGCCGATTCTGGACTGGATGAAGGCCAGTTCTCCTAAGCCCAAGTGGAGCGACGTCTCAGCAATGAGTTCGACCACGAAAAGCTATTGGGCCTAATGGGACAGCTTGCTGATTCAGGATGGAGTCCTGTGCCGTAAATAGGAAAATGGTCGGGGAGACAGATGTCATTTGCAAATGGTTGTCCCTAAGGCTAAAGTACCGGATGTTCTACAGCTGTACCATAGTGGTTGTTCAGGAGGCCACCTGGGAGTTAAACTCTACTGAAGATCCGAGAACGGTTTTACTGGGTCGTGACGATGTCGAGGACTGGTGCCGCAAATGTACAAGTTGTGCGGCTATAAAGGGACCTCAAATTCGTAGTAGAGGCGCATTGAAATTGTACAATGTTGGTGCACCATGGGAGAGGATAGCCATTGACATTGCGGGGCCGTATCCGGAAAGTGAAAGTGGTAAGAAGTATTTCATGGTTGTGATGGATTACTTCACTAAGTGGCCAGAAGTCTTCGCCATTCCAAATCAAGAAGCTCCAACAGTTGCAGATAAACTAGTTCATGAAGTCTTCTGTCGTTTTGGACTACCTTTAGAGATTCACAGAGATCAAGGAAGGAATTTTGAGTCTCAAATGTTCCAGGAAACTTGCCGAGTTATGGGTACTCATAAAACACGAACAACTTCTTACCACCCACAATCTGATGGAATGGTAGAACGATTTAATCAGACATTGGAGAGGTACCTAGCAAAAGTTGTGGAAAAACGGCAACGAGACTGGGACATGCACATACAACCGTTTTTGTTGTCATATCGAAGCGCTGTTCTCGAAAGTACATCAGTGACACCAGCTTTCGCAAACTTTGGGAGAGAATTACGGCTGCCTGCAGACCTGAATACCACCGTACGTATACGACGTAACCTACCGGATACAGAAAGGTGCCAGAGGTACTCCTAAGATCGTCCATGTGGATCGACTGGCGCATTATTATGGGGCTAATAATGCTCGGGACGAGCATGTCTTAGGATGGAGCAGTGTTGCGCGCCACTATTAATGACTTGTACATGGCAACACTAGTTACACTAGCGCCCTCTAGTGTCGAGTAGCAGAAAGTGTTGCGCGCCACTATTAATGTCTTGTTCATGGCAACACTAGTTACACTAGCGTCCTCTAGTGTCGAGTAGCAGAACTAGGAGAGTGAAGATCCTTCCAGAAATTTCGGGACCGATATGTATTCGAACTTTCTAGATGTCGCTACAGTAGAAGGTTCTCGAAACTATCTGAGGCCCTATATAAGGCCGGTATAGACCACGACCGAGGCAGTATTGAATTGGCGATACAAGAGAATACTTCGGAGCGAAACAACTGCGAACTTAAGCGATCAGTAGTACAATTTTGTTTTATTATTAGTGTGTTTTAGATTGTAATTAGTGTTGTGTAATTAAAGTGTCAATTTTGGTAATTCAATCGGCAGTTTTTAATTGTCTCGAACCCCAAGATCGTAACAATATTAATGCACACAATTGTGCCTATAGGGCACACATACAGTACACTCATTTCATCAGCAAATTTCAATTTCCCTATAAAAAACAAAACAAAAGCCATTTATTCAACAGTACGTAATACAATTTCTTAATATCTAAGTTATATAAAATCTAGGTTGTCTTCTGCTGATTGCCAATCGGCAAAGGCCTACTCAAACCTTTTCCACTCGTTTCTATCCTTGGCAACCTGACTCCAGGTCACCTTCCCATCTTTGATGGGGTCTTCACCTCTTTCTTTTGTAATTCCTGGGGTACCATACTGTGATCTTCCTGCTCCACTTCTCCTTCCCTCTAGTCATATGCCCAGTCCATTTCCACTTTAGTTTCCTGGCATTTGTTATGTCCTGAACCTTTGTGTTTTTCCTAATGTCTTCTAACCTGACTCGATTCTTTTTCCTGATTCCCATCATGCTTCGCTCCATCGAGTACTGACATATGTTTAATTTCTCACTGCTCAATTTAGTGGGGGCCCGTGTTTGTCATCCTTACATCAATGCAGGGAGAATGCATGTGTTGCAATGCCAATAATGTAAGAACAAGAATTACACTTAACAGTAAGTTTAAACGATATACATTACAGCTGTTACTTTTGATTGGAACACTAAACACAATTTAATTAAAATACTTCCGAAACTTACCTACTTTAAATTTAATCGATATGTGCAGTTCTTTATCTTTCACTATTTCCTTCATGCTCCAATATCTTTCCCATCCGTTTGCCACTCTCCTGTTGATTTCTTTCATACTGGCGACATAAAGATATACCATGTCTTTTAAAAAGCTATATAAAGTTTGTAAATATATAATCTCAAATTTTCCAAAATAGCATCAACTTACTCTTCTCCACTCCCTACGAAGGACTTGACAAGGAAACCATTGATCCTAACAGTAAATTAAAGAAAATCATCTCAGAAAATTGGCAAGACTGAATCATTATGTACACAGACGCTTCAAAGACTTCTAGCAAAGATTGTGTAGGTTCTGCAGTTTGGATCCCTAAATATAGAATAATTCTAAATTTTAAGTGCCCACCTGAATCATCAGTTTTCACAGGTAAATCTATTGCCATTTTATAGGCAATCCTATATGCCGAATTTCACAACCTGGAAAATACCTTAATTCTTTCTGACTCTCTTAGCTGTCTCCAAACTATTATCTTCAGCTCCTTCCACTCTAAATCAAATCTTGTCCCTACCCTGTTTATTAAAAAAGCATTAGGTATATCATTGTCACAAAAAGGCCTAAAAGTTGCTTTGGCTTGGATTGCAGGCCATTCCGGGATACATGGTAATGAGTACCAAATTTTCTCCCATGACTTGTTTCCACTAGCAGAATCTGACTTTATGGCATCTTGGCAAGGTCTCTGAGACCAAACTAAAAACATAAAATGTAAATAGGTACTACAATCAGGTTCAAGACGTAATCCCATAGAAACCTTGGTTTTTCCATTATTGTGAAGCCAACAAATTTACTACATCAACTGTTTGCCGTCTTCGAATCGGTCATTCTTGCACACCGATACACCTAGCCAAATTAAGGATAAGGGATAATTCCTTATGTGAATGTGGTCTTGATGAAGGTTCCACCAATCACATATTTTTCGAATGTCCACAATATAAGTTCTCCTTGTATGATATCCTTCCCCAAAACATCCCTCGTCCTACTAATTCTGTCTGCTGACTCTTGTGCTCTCCTCATTTGTTCATATTTTATGTGATTTTATTTATACTAATGGTATTAAGTTGTAACATAATACTAATCATTGTTGGCGATAGAATTATAAATGTTTGTGTTGTCTTTTGTTGTAGATTAGAAGTCAATCACAAAAAAAAAGATTGATTTTTAATTTTTTTTGTTTTATTTACCTTGTTGTCGCTCCCATGAGTGACTTGACATTGGCAGAATTCTTTTAAGAGAAGCCAAAAGTAAAGAAGAAGAAGAAGAACTTAACCATGTTAGCAATTATATTTATTATTTCCTTTTCATTGCCATCCCTTTCTTTACACAACACTCACACTGCTCCTTTAACGCCTTAGTTTTTGAAGCGCCATTTGAAGTTGGTTCTCCAATTGGCGCGTTTTGGCGTTGCGTGTATTCATTTTACTCTCTCTCATCTTTACTTAAGTGTAAATAGCAAAAAAAACCGAGGAAGCAGAGTAAGCAAATGTCTAGATTTATGGATCTATTTACAGATCTCAAATTAAATTATCATGTAAATAATTCAAAATGAAATTCAGAGCAACACTTACTCAAAAGGTAAATCTTAAAATGTTAAAGGGATAACAAGAACTTAGATTATTTACTCTCTAAATAATCTAAGAACAAGAATTACACTTGCAGTAAGTTTAAACGATATACATTACAGTTGTTACTTTTGATTGGAACACTAAACACAATTTAGTTAAAATACTTCCGAGACTTACCTACTTGACAAATACAAATAAGTCGTATTTCACAACTGTAACTCAAAATTGAGGTGGATATTATCAATTTACAATATTGAATTTTCAGAGATCGCTGCATACAGGGCTAAACATCTGGGCACGTCGGGATCACCCCCTGCAGTTGTTCCAACATCAAAGGGCTGTTGAACTTCTTCGAGGAGATTTCATGGCATGAATAATCTTAATATTCCTGCCTAGTCGAAGGAGTTGCAGAAAATAGCGCGTCGTAATCATATTTATTCTAATCGAACCTAAGCACACAGCCAACATGTGGATGCCATGGCCAACACTCTACCAACAATCTTTGATTTGTGTTGAAAAATTAAGATCACCCGGAACAAGTGCCAACATATGGACCAAGCCTACAATACCTACTAGTGACAAAGTGACCATAAATCACCGCTCTACATGATGGCATTATGGATGACAACTACAAATGGCACATATTGGCCATCACGAAGAGGAGCCATAATAGGAGGGTTGACTGCCAAAATTAATATTCACTTTGTTCTCAAAATTTAGTATTCAACTTCCTTATGACATACTATACTACTATTATTCTTATGAGCCTACTAGCTGTATCCGTGACTTCGCCCACATGTAATATAGGGTTTTAATTATGTTGCACAGAACCCTAATTCTTTTTGTAAAATATAAGTAGCCTAAGTTACTCCTTATAACATCAGTTATCTGCCAGTGAGTCCTGTCGAATTCGGTCCAGCCGTTTCGGAGATTAGCCGGAACAAACAGACAGACAGATAAAAATTGTTTTTGTTATAAGTACACTATATACTTTTGTATGCATTTAGTAAAGAGCTGATATTTTGACATTACATACAGGTACTTCAATTTTATTTGTATAGATTTACTTTCATACTTTTAGTCTGAGGTACTTTTTATTTTTAATTAATTTGACGGCTCCATGGTGCAGTGACTTAGCAATGGGTTGCAGTGCTAAGGGCCACAGGTTTGAATCCCGCAAGGAACAAGTATTTGTATGGGCTACAAATAATTGTTCTGGGTCTGAATATTTGTCCTTGTGAAATCTATGTATGTAAACTGCCCCTGCAATACAGGAAAAAATCCTAGTGTGAAGGTAACATTTTTTTTAAATCATAAAAAAGTTTATTAAATAAACAAACATAGAAAGAACTGTGGTAGTGTTTATTTTGGTATATATGCTCTCTCAATTTTCACATCATCTACAGGGCAATCATTTTTATCACATTCCACTAAGCCTATTCTTTTTACTACTGACATACCACTTTGTACCCGTCCAAATATTGTATGCTTCCCATCCAACCACTGAGTTGGGGCTAATGTAATAAAAAATTGTGATCCATTTGTATTAGGGCCAGCATTTGCCATAGACAAAATTCCTGCTCCAGTGTGCTTCAGATCTGAGGTGATTTCATCATCGAATGTGGGGCCATATATAGACTGCCCTCCTTTTCCTGTCCCTGTCGGATCACCACCCTGTACCATAAAATCTCTAATGACTCTATGAAATTTTGTGTTATTATAATAACCTCTTCGGACTAATTCCATAAAATTCTTGCATGTAAGTGGTGAATGTTTCCAGTACATTTCAACTATCATGGTTCCCATTCTGAAATATATAAACAGTATTTATAACACCAGATAAAATTACACATAATGTGGTGGTAGAATAAGACTAGAATAGATGTTGTAAAAGACAATAACAAAAAACTCCAGAATGCCTTTTGATAGAGGGTAATGGAATGACAGATGCTGGCAACTTATTCCACTCCTTTGCTCTACACATGAAAAACAATGAAACATTTTGGTTTGAATGCATGGTGAGTTGACAACGAAAGAAGGAGACTGGTTAAGCACCTGGTTGTCAAATGGTGAAAGGGAAAGGGAGGAATTAAGTTATGCAATTCCTGTGCACATTCACCAAAATGCATCCTGTATAAAACTAAAAGACCTGTGTTAGAGACTCGGGTCAGTAATAAGCCTCTAAACATGCCTTTTCATTGTAATGAAAGCTGATAGGAGGCATTTTGCTGACTAACCCATATATGGCAACCATATCCCATGCTCTACAAGAGTTGCGCTTTATATCGAGCAAGCAAATCGGTATCGGAAAGGATTTAATCCCAATTGGCCTAAGTACATGTATTTTATATATTATTCAAATTTTTTTGACAATACTTACGAAGTTTCTAGAACTGCTACTGGCGGTTGCCATGACTTATCTGGAATACCAGCATTGGAATAGCCTAACATATTTCAACAATTTAGTAGGGTTACAACAACAGCCGTGTGATAATAACCCAGATGTATTTTAATTTTCCTGTAGACAGTTACTTTGTAGAGCCTCACAATTGTGCAATACAAAAACATTAACTCAACAACATTTAAAACACATTCTCAATCAAACGGAGTTTAAAAAAGATGAATATGTTACTTGGTTTTGCAGTTTATTAAATTTTAGCGATGATGAAGGAAATATTAATATATTCAGTTATTACGATTTGCCAAAATAAAAAGTACTATAATATAATAACATAGCTTGCTACATATATATTTATCTATGAAAAGTACTCCACAGACCACCACAGATTACTGCAGACCACAAACTGTATATTTTTTTAAACTGGCTCTACAGCTCTGGGATCAATACTCTATCTACGATAATATAGCTTGCTACATATATATTTATCTATGAAAAGTACTCCACAGACCACCACAGATTACTGCAGACCACAAACTGTATATTTTTTTAAACTGGCTCTACAGCTCTGGGTTCAAGCCCTTCTGGGCCTATCCACAAACTATAGAAACACTACGCCACAGAGTACATTTTATACTACACGCACTAACTACTAGATAAAACTACCAATATCTCTATGAAAACTACTCCCACATACTTCTTTAAACTGGTTTTACAGCTCTGTTTTACATATTAAAATCCACTTCAAACCATTATTTAAACAATAATACAGGAGTAGCAAACTGCCGCTGGTCAAGTTTCCGCCAAAACTGAAAATACTCCCACATATTAGATTACTCCATAGAGTACCTTTAAAAAGTACTCCTTAAGCTCCTTTTTTTAATTGCTGGCTTTAAGGCTCTGGGTTCTAGCCCTACTGAGCCCGAAGTTACAATGTATGCCTATGGCTAATGTCTACGGCTTCGTTCGTTTTTTTTGTAAAAAAATCCTATGCACTCAGGCATATTGTAGTTTCCTATTAGCGCGTTCAAATAAACAAACTCTTCAGCTTTGTAATACAGTATAAATATTTGTATTATATGTATGTAGATATTTTTTATTTTTACTTTTTACGGTAAGTAGTAAATACTTACCATAAATAATAAATACATAAAAAAATATCTATACTGCTTTCAAGATATAAATGTTTAATTATGTATATAAACAGCTACACACACATCATCTTCAAGAACCAATTTCCATAAAATAGACTGATCAAGAATAAACATACCATAGTACTTTCTATTTCAATTTCCATAGCAAATTCTTCTGACCGTAAAGATAGGTTAGTAGGACAATTTTTTTTATTTTTTTTTATTTAAAAAACAATGAATATCTATCAAGCTGAAAAATATGATTACTATTTAAAATTTATAACATTAATCACCCAAATAAATGAGTACACGTTATAATATAAAATATAAAAGAATAAGTACCAAATAATTCTTTGCTTCCATCATCATCATCATCATTACAGCCCTTCACAAGTCCACTGCTGAACATAGGCCTCCCCCAAAGAATGCCACAAAGCACGGTCACTCCATCTAGTTGGGGGACGCCCTACACTTCGCCTGCCGGTACGAGGCTGCCACTCGAGAACCTTTCTTGCTTCCATATCAACCCCCAAAGGTTCACAGTTAGAGGAACACGGTTGATCTAAAGCCGGTCTGGTCTGAAATTAAAAACAAAAGGACATGAGACATAAATATTCAACAAATTTTGCCTGTTTTTGACATAAAATAGTCTTGAGTACAATAATCCTCTATTTACTTGTTGTAATAGATAAAAAATGCTACTTACCGATGACAGGTTACGTTTTGTTGATTTCGTTCACTACGGCTTTTGCAACCGTATATACAGCAATTCACCATTACTACACACTTAATATTACCCTCTGAGATATCACTAAAGTCGCATATAATACAAAATAAGCGTTTCACAGTTTTTATCAATGAAAATATTCTGACACCACAGCTTGTCTGCCATCAAAGACTGTAGTGGCAAATAACAAATAACCGATTCGCTCATAGAGATAGGAAAAGTATGCTACATCCTGCTCACACATACAGATTTCCCATATATGTCGTCTTACTTTCGAAATTATCATTATTTTGAGAGCATGTCACCTATCTCTATTCTCTGTCTACGCTCCTCCATGATTAATGAATATATATAATATATATAACACAGACTAATCTGATGCTACGACCACAAACTAACTAGCTAACTAGCACTTCTTATTACACCCCTCCCCCACCCCCACCTCGTCGGACTATGAATTTGGAGTATATATATATATATATATATATATAAATACAGTCAGACGTATTTTAAATAGCACATCTCAAAAATATTTATTATTTCAACTGCACCCATGTAATTTAGAAATAAAAATTAGTTAAATTCGTTCACCTTATAACGTCGATATTACTTCAAATAATTAGAATTAGGTACAGTTTAAAAAACTGCTCCTAAAAAATATGCATTGATAAGCTCTAAATTTACTAAAACCAAATTTGTTAAATGTCGATTGGGTGATTTTTTTAACAACTTTGTTTTTATCAACTTTTGCGTTAATAATTAACACAAAATAAAAAAAGTAAAATCACACGAAAAGTTGGAATAATCTGAAGTTAATACTATACCCATTTAAGTATAACCGCCATTAATGCGTAGACACTTGACTGTTAATACGAGGGCGACACTGAAAGTTTTTAGAACTGGCCACTTGTAAACGATATAATAAAAATAAGTTCAAATTTTGAAAATGGTACTCTTTGCCAATATTATTGTGAATCATCATCATCATTACAGCCTTTTATAAGTTCACTGCTGAACATAGGCCTCCCCCAAGGAATGCCACAAAGCACGGTACTAAGCCACCTGCATCCATCGACTTCCTGCATGTCTAACCACGTCGTCACACCATCTAGAGGTGGGTCACCCTATACTTCGCCTACCGGTACGAGGCTGCCACTCGATTACCTTTCTTCCCCATCGGTTGTCAGTTCTTCGAGCTATATGGCCAGCTCACTGCCACTTCAGCTTATTAATCTGTTGGGCTATGTTGGTTACTCTGGTTCTACTGCGGATATTCTCATCTCTAAGTTTATCACGCAGAGAAACCCCGAGCATAGCCCTCTCCATAGCTCGCTGAGCGACCTTGAGCTTCCTCATACGGCCAGCAGTGTAGTGGCGGTTAAGAATATCCATTACCCCATATCTTCCCGTAGGTGTCGTAAAAGGCGACAAAGGGAAACAGACAGGAGATGGGCAGCAGCATCTTCCTAATTAAACAGCAAAATTACAATTAAAAACTGCGGTTGCCAACCCACTCGCCAAGCGTGGCAGTTATGGCAAATACCCTCCTATGATGAGAGTAACAAAGAGACGTCCCCGCAGCTTCGCTATTCCTGGCTACGATGGCAATTACGGTAACGGCGGGGCAGGGGGTGCTAAGAATATCCGATGGAGATTCGGTTGCCACCTAAGACGACTCAACCTGGCAACATACAACACACGCACCCTGAGGACTGACGAGAAAATCCTTAAGCTGGAAGAAGAGATATAGACAAGCTACGCTGGCATATAATAGGATTATCCGACGTCCGAAGAGAGGGCCAGGACACGGTAATCCTCGAATCCGGCAACTTGCTCTATCACCAGGAGGGCGACCATGTGTCCCAAGGAGATGTCGGATTTATCGTCCACAAGTATCTCGTTAACAACGTTGTAAAGATTAAGAGTGTGTCGACGACGACCTTATACTCAGAATCACCAAACGGTATTCCCTGAAGGTCATACAGGCTTACGCACCTACATCGGCACACCCCGATGAGGATGCGGAAGAAATGTATGAGGATATCTCTAGAGCCATACATTCCTCCAAAACCCACTATACGGTGTTAATGGGAGACTTCAATGCAAAACTAGGCACAAGAGAGAATGGTGAGCTGAAAGTAGGGAAATTTGGAATAGGGCAACGGAACCCAAGGGGCCAGCAGCTGGCCGACATCATGGAGAAAGAGGGACTCTTTATGATGAACTCTTTCTTCCAGAAGCGGCCCCACAGGAAGTGGACCTGGTCGAGCCCGGACGGTTCGACAAAAAAATGAGATTGACTTCATTATGACGACAACTGTTCAGTGATGTCTCAGTGATCGCGAGGGTGAAAACCGGCAGCGATCACCGAATGGTTAGAGGCACACTGAACCTAAACGTTAAGTTGGAGAGGTCTCGTCTAATGAAGTCAACGCTCCGTCCCCCTCGTGCTCTAATTCAAAGTCCCGAAACCTTTCAGCTCGAGTTACAAAACCGTTTTCAGTGCCTAGAAGACTGCAATGAAGTGGACGATATGAATGACAAGCTCGTGGAAACTGTCCATGCGGTCGGAGCTAAGTTCTGCAAGACCCGCCGCAGAAGAACATAAAAACTCTCCGATCACACTCTTAATCTCATGGCTGTCAGATGGGAAATGAAGCAGCAGTCTTCAGCAGATTTGAGAGTGCGAGACTTACGCAACTTTAATACTGCTCGTATTAAAGAAGCGATCGAGCGGAACCAAGGCTCCAAAGTCTTTGCCAGAGATCTGTCTGCCAGAAAGAGCCAACTGTCAAAGCTGAAGACAGAATGTAGCAGCATCGTTTCCGGGGCACCTGAGATTTTGAGTGAGATTGAGAGGTTCTATGAGCAGCTGTACACGTCATCGTTGGAGCCACACGCGAGTGTGAGTAACGATCCAAGAGTGAGTCTTATCCGACATTTACTCCGGGGAGTTTCGCCCGTCCGGCATACTTTGTGCCCGGTGGATAACTCATAATTTGACAGAGGCCCAAAACTAAAACTCCGTCGTGTTGATTGGTGTCATGAAATGGTTCAAAGATTTAACGGAGGTGACTCAAATGCTGTGTTCGACATACTTACGGGTGACGAAAGCTGGATTTATTGTTATGATTCTGTAACTAAGAGACAGTCTGCTGTCTGGGTGTTTCCTTCCAAGGAGTTGCCAACTAAA